TGTATATATATATATATATATATATATATATATATATATATATATATATATGAATATTAGAAGACTGAATATAATGATCACATTAAAACAGAAGATTGTATATTGCGAGACGGACTATGAAATAAGAGATAATATTGATATGTAAAAAGGTAAATGATCAAAAATTATATTTATTAGGGTAAATTACAACCACCCCTGAGGTATGGTCAATTTACGAAAAAACCCCTCTTGTTTGTATAATTACATCTACCCCTTCAACTATGATTTTTTCTTACACATCCACCCTTATGGTGTCAAATTCAACATAATCATCTAGATTTTGTGGAATGTGCTCTAGCTTGAACCCGTTTTGTGTAAAAATACAGTTTATGATAGACCACAATCTAATATATACAAACCAAAAAACACATATTATGATCATTTTGCTTCAAAGTATAGAGTTCGAATGGGATAAAATGGGCACAAAAGTGATAATATTCCATATAATCTCGAAGATTCCACTAAATTTGAGAAGTTGAGGGGGTGGTTGTAGTTATGCAAACAAGAGGGGTGTTTTCGTAATTTGACCATACCTCAGGTGGCTGGTTGTAATTTACCCTAAGATTTTTTGCTCGGTATTGCGAATTTTCGTAAATGAGTCAACGCGATTACAACTCAGGAGGAGTCGGAGCATGCAACATAGGTATGAATGAATTGAATCATAAGATTTGAATCGTAAATCATAAGATTTTAAGCTTGGTTTGCGAATTTTCGTAAATGAGTTGCACGCGATTATAGCAGAGGAGGAGTCGAAGCATGGTGCGTTGGTGGCAGATATTTCGGATATTGCAAGAGAGATCCACTTTGGGGTCAAATTTGCAATTTGGGTAGAGCGGCCAGGAAAATGGAGTAAGTATATGGGTGATTCTGCAATTTTCAGAACTGTTTCAGCCGGGAGGTTGGATTTCCAAAAATTACAAATTGACCCCCACTTCGGGGGCATTTCCAGTTAAGGCCCAAAATAAAAAAATGGTCTATAATATAGGGACCAAAATTGTAATTGTCCCAAGTTTATTATAAATAATTTAATAAATAAAAGTTTTATTAAATAGTAAATCTTAAAATTTAATCGATTTGTTGATATTTAAGATTTATTTTACATTGGAATCGACTTAGGTAAGAATGAATTGAATCGTAAGATTTGAACCGTGAATCATAAGATTTGAAGCTCGATATTGCGAATTTTCATAAACGAGTCATAAGCGCGCGATTACAACTGAAGAAGAGTCGAACGGTGAATCATAAGATTTTTTTAATTTTTTATATTCGATTTTTACAGGTTGCGGTTCAGTCGAGTTCGACCATCCATGAAATTCCGCCGCTTCAAAAAATACAAATAAAATTATTTTGATAATTTATTAAGCTTTCGTATAATTTTTCTAATCTAATTAGGATGTCAATTGATTGAACATTATTATCTCGACAGATAAATTCCAAAAAAACAAATTAAAGACAGAAGCATATGACATGATTTCAATTATACAGCATGCTGTGAAAATTGGTAAAAATTGATAGATACATGTAACAAAAGATCGATAAAATCGATATGTATATATATACATCTTGTAAGATTTTCCTACACGAAAAGCGAAATTAATCGAAAAAAAAGGCTATGGCTAGGATATAATCTCTCCTTGTTCGATATCAATATCAAACATAGGTAGTACGGCATCGACTCGATCCGGATGACGTTCGATGTAATCAAAATCATCGGGCTTGATAAACAATCCAAGCGTCTCCAAAGGGCCAACACCGCCCCATCGCCGCCCACAACCCCACATCACCAGCTGGTTCATGACATCTAGGTTCTGATCGTTGAACTCAACGGTTTTCTTGATATTATCACGAGCGACTCTCTCTCTCTCCCGCCTCTTGTTCAAATCCGCAATCCTGATTCTTTCTTGTTTAAGTTTATTCTCTTCCATCTGCTTTTGCATCACGACGCCGCCGTCGGACTTCCCGAGCAAGTGGTGTTTCGCTTTGAATATCGTATCAGCGAATCGACTTTTCAGCATCAAAGCCCTCGTAGAAGAAGCCTTCTCCTCCACGTCATCTTCGGCTGCGGCGGTCGATATTATTTCCTGGCGCTTTGCCGGGATAATCATCACCGGATCTTTTTCTTCTTCTTCTTCTTCTTTTGATACTCGTCTGACATGGGCCGCCGTATTATTACGAATATCATCACACGGTGTTCGTCGTAACGTAGAAGTCGTCGAAAATTTGAACTTGGAATTGTTCTTGATTATGGTAGAAATTCGTTGGAGCTTTGATCTTTTCGAACTTGGTTTATTACTACATCTTGCAATCGCCATCTTCTTCATCGTGATAAATTAAAATTCAAGAAAAAAGAAATTATTTTAATAGAAAAGGTGACGAAGAATTTATAATGTACGCACAGGTTTTTTTGATCTAGGTTTTTATAAGGAATATTTTCCTTTATAAACTCTGATTGGTTACCAAACAGAGTTTCAAATCTATGTAACTTTCCTTTTGTAATTTCTGTGTCCTTTTGTAAACTCTGTATCTATGTAACTT